CATCCTTGCCGACCTCAAACTCCTGAACTCCAACGTCGGACGCCTCGCCGTCTCCTCTGCCTTACTCAATGGTACCGTCTCATGGATCCTTCTTGCCGTGTCCATCTCGATGGTGCACAAGGATGGTGCATTGATGGCGTCTCTGTGGTCAGTGCTGTCGGCTGCGGTGTTCACAGTGTCATGCTTTGTCATCGTGCGTCCAGCGGTGCTGTGGGTGACGAGGAACACGCCGGATGGTGAAGAAGTCAATGAGCTATACTCATCCGGTATCATCGTTGGCGTGTTGGTATCCGCCTTTGTGGCCGATGTGATTGGCACCCATGCGATATTTGGCGCGCTGGTGTACGGGTTGGCGGTGCCCAACGGGACAGTGGGTGAGGCAGTGATCGATAAGATTGAGAATTTCGTCAACGGATTGCTGTTGCCGTTGTTCTATACGCTTAGTGGGCTTAGAACGGACGTGAGGACGGTGAGGCATGGGGCGTCTGCGGTGAAGCTGGTGATGGTGGTTGCAGCATCGGCGGCATCGAAGATTGGAGGGTGTTTGATGGCTGCGAGGGCGTATAATATGCCGAGCAGCATCGGCGGCATCGAAGATTGGAGGGTGTTTGATGGCTGCGAGGGCGTATAATATGCCGATGCTGGAGGGGTTGGAACTGGGGTTGTTGATGAATACTAAAGGGGTGGTGGAGTTGATCATACTTAACATTGGAAAGGATAAGCATGTCAGTTTTCTTTACTCTACTCTCTTATTGTCGATTTCTCGAGCTAGCTTGTTTCGAATTTGCTAATGCATGTAGTTTCTTTACTCTACTCTTTTATTGTCGATTTATCGAGCTAGCTTGTTTCCAATTTGCTAATGCATGTATTTGTTAAGTACTAAGTCGATGTATTCTCATGGAAATGATGAATTCATTGTAGGATGTAATTGGTATTCTGATTTATGAGAATTAGGCAGTTCTCACAGGATCCATTAGACCAGCTCCCGTGATTTAACCGATACGATGAATTTTCATCAATAATGATGGATATATCACTATAGCAACCATTAGAAACAGTTGCATTATTGCTTCTCAGTTGGTACTTAAAGTCACATACTATTCAAATATTGTTTTTCTATGCATATTTCCATTCAACACGGAACCACGTACATACAATATTTTTCAAACATTAATAATATTCACATGAAATTTGGATCTGATATGAAATCCTTGGGATCAGCATTCAAAATTATCATGCGACAATAATCAAAACTAAGCCACTGAGAGTGAGCTGAACAGTTGAAAAGTTTCAATATGACTCGTATGATCATGAGTTCGATTTTACACTGGAATATTAAAAAATATATTCAAAATTACAGTTGGAATGACATGAAATCAGATAGAATTCAAGTTGATATAATTAATGCTCATTCCATCTACAATAATTAAACTCATGTATACATATACTCAGATCCTAAATGGGCAATCCTTCACCATCCTGGTCATCTCCTCCGTCCTCCTCACCGCCCTGGTCACCCCTCTCATTAATGCTGTTGCCAAGAGCTCTCGCCGCTTCGTGGCCTACAAGCGCCGCACAGTCCGCTGGCCCAACCCAGACTCGGAGCTACGCATACTCGTCTGCATACATCACCCACGTGACGTCCCCTCTCTCATCACCCTCCTCGACGTCTCCCACCCAACCAAACGAGCCCCCATCTTTGTCTACGCCCTCCACCTCATCGAGCTCACTGCCCGAGCTGCTACCCTCCTCGTCAACAGTGCGGCATCGAAGGACGCCACGGCAGCATCGGGGGTGAGCAAGGTGCAGATGCAGGCGGAGCAGGTAGTGAATGCATTCGAGACGTACGAGCAGCACGCGGGAGGGGTGTCGGTGCAGACGCTGAGCACGTTCTCACCGTATCAGACGATGCATGAAGATATTTGTGGGATTGCGGAGGATAAGCATGTGGCACTTATTTTGTTGCCGTTTCATAAGCATCAGACTGTGGATGGATTCATGGAGGTATGCGTGATTTATTTTTTCTTTTATTTTGGAAATTATATTTTGGAAAAGGAATTCTATAATAATGGAAAAATTGGAGGAATAGGAAACTAAATATATAAAGATGAACCGTATAGGATTAAGAAATGTATATTTGTCAGTAGCATGGAAATGGATCTTGGACTCTTGTTCCTTTTCTTAAAGTTACTAAAACAATTTATATCAATAATCACATTAATAATTTTTTTTGAGTGAAAGGTTAAGGCCTCGAAATTTAAAACTCCCACCAAATATTATATATAATGATTTGTTTACAAGAAAGAAAAGAGTAGCTATACCCAAAATTAATATAACCAGGTCCCAAAAAATAACAACATCAAGCTTGAAAATAACATCTAGAAATTACCCCGATGATTTGCCTTTTTGTTTGTGAATTTTTTTATAAGAGTACATTACTAATAGTATAAAAAATCATTAGATTCTATATATGTTACTAAGAGCCACTCATCCATTGATCTTCTATGTGGTTAAGCGATTTAGTTTTTATAAAATTCATACCTAAAAATACTCTCTTAGCACTTTGCAGTTGGATACGAAAAATCAATACAAGCTTTACAAGCTTGTAAACAAAGGATTAGACTACGTCTTTCTTTATTCCACCAACGGTTTTTACAAAACTTGTCATTTAAGTGTAGAAACTTATTTCTTTATGTCTATCATTGATGAATGTCTTAAGTTGAGTGTGGAGATCGAACCATAGCCTCCAATAATGAAAAATCAAGAGGATAAAACTCAACAAGACAAATTAACATTTGCTTGTTTGATGCACTAATGGGATGTTATTAATTCGGGATTATTTGGTAAGACTAGGATTATTGTCTGAGAACCATATTGTTGCAGCGGAGGGTCTTCACAGACATAAAATGTGTCTATACAAGAGTGGACAAAGAGAATAACACACAAGGATTTAACGTGGTTCAGTCAGTATGACCTACGTCCACGGGCGAGAACAGCAGAGAACTTCACTAATCACCAATAGAGAAGATTACAAAAGAGAAGATCACTCTCTATCCATAGACTCACACAAAGAAAGGGACAAAAACCTTTCTATCTCACTCTCTTCTCTCTAACTAATTCTTTTCTTTTTCTCTCTGACTGATGATCTTAAATCCTCCCACACCCCTCCTTATATAGGTTACAAAAATAATAAAATAATGAAAGGGTTGGTGAATCATTGATCTGGCGTTGCAAAGTTTGAAAACACGATACAAGGGTTAGGCAAATGAAGACATTTTAAAAGGCACGTTACAAATCTCCACATTGACTTTGAAAATGATGATCTTCTCTTAACTCTTCCTATCTCGCCAGAAGCCCCTTACGGGCTTAATCTCCTCTTTGTTGAACTCCAAGCAATTCGAGACAATGCTCGAACTTGGGCAAAAGTACGGGCTTCGTCATCATATCTGCTGGATTATCTGCAGTACCAATCTTCTCAATCTTGATGACTTTAATTTCTCTGATAAAATGATATCTGACATCTATATGTTTGGTTCTTTCATGATATATTTGATGCTTCGTCAAATGTATAGTACTCTGACTGTCACAAAATATCATAGTAACACCTTGGTGTAAGTCGAGATCTTCAACCAAACCTCTCAACCAAATAGCTTCTTTCACTGCTTCTGTCACTATCATATACTCTGCCTCTGTGGTAGACAAAGCAAATGTCGACTATAGAGTCGCTTTCCAACTAATGGCACTACCTGAAAGAGTGAATATATAACCTGTCAAGGATCGTCTCTTATCCAAATCGCCAGCATAATCTGAATCAGAATAGCCAAGTATTCTGCAATCTGAGTCTGTGTTCCTGCCATAATTCAAACCAATATTAGCAGATTCTCTCAAATATCTAAGTATCCATTTCACAGCCTGCTAATGGATCTTTCCAGCCTTATCCATATACCGACTCACAACACTGACTGCTTGTGAAATATCTGGACGGGTGTAGACCATCGCATACATAATGCTTCCAACTGCACTAGCATAAGGAACACAAGACATGTACTGCTCCTCCTCCTCCTCAGTCTGAGGTGACAAATCTGCTGAAAGACGAAAATGAACGGCAAGCGGAGTCTTCACAGGCTTGGCATCAAGCATGCCAAATGTGACGCCCCTGGGTTCACACAAGGCTGCAGTCCAAGGTGAAACCAAGAATGTTAAACCTGTAATGCACCACACCGTGCAACAACATGTTTCACCATCACAATTAACATCTATCTAGTAGAGTCAACAACAGGTGTAGGTACAAAAGCAAGCAAAAGATAATACAAGAAGACTGATGAAATAATAATAATCAACTTAATGTCTCATCATCCAACAAACAGAAACATATAGTCAAGGTCTGAGTAGATAAACTGGAATACTCAACAAGTCTTAAATACAACTATCTGACAAGAAGGAAATAAGGCACACAGCCTTTACAACTTCTAGAACAGGACTTTCAAATGTCTAAACACAAGTCTACTGTGGAACTCCAAAAGAAAATATATAACTAGCTAGACAGCTGAAGCAAAAAATGCATCGCCATCAACCTGCGACTCTTCGAGCTCCTGGCTCGTTACCTGAAAGGGGGAGGGACAACGAGCGTCAAAGCGCTAGCGAGTAACATCACAACCAACCCCAAGGGAAGAGGGCTCGTTGCATAAGAAAATACAGATAATACATAATAGATCTAAAAATCATTGATCTTACTAAAGAGGGTTTTAGTATTTAGAAATTTACAACACGAGAATAGGTACGTCGAGCGAAATAATCCAAACAAGGAAACCCTCATGTATATACCTTATATCTCAAATTGTAAACCCCTAATTACCAAACCCGAGGTTCTAGTACATGAATAATAATAAAAGAAAAACACTAATCTTAGAACAATAGTGCAGTGCCATATCATAGCCTACCTGAAGATCATGTTAAAATCTACACAAGTGTCATGTCAAAATCTACATAGTTATCATGTCATGAACTTCTGTGAGAAGGTCATATGCAGGGTTAAGAACTATGTCTGAAACAGGAACTATATATGGTAGTTTCCAAACTCATAGAATAAGTGGCAAATGTCCAACACGAGGACTGAAATGGATTATAGTCCAACACGAGGACTTCTATGGATTATAGTCCAACACGAGGACTGTGAAATAGTGAAAATATCGCTGTGATATATAGTGAAGTCTACTTATATCAATCCACACTCAAATCAGTGTATAAGTCCCCAATTTATACCCTCAGGTCATCTATCATGCATGGATACATAGTGAGACTAAATACCAAGGTCAGATAATCCAGGCAAACTCTCGAACATGAGTAAAATACTCAAAATACACCAAACAGGAATTTTGCAACAGACAGTGCGGCCCGCCAAGCGGACAGAAACCCAAATCTGGGTTTCTGTCAGCTCGAAACCTGAAATAAAATTTGACATTTCTCTACGATAACAGGAGTTCTAATGTTTCAAAAATACTACAGAAGGTAAACAGCTAATCCCAAGCCTGAAATCTACATTTCCAATATTCTAAATACATGAGAAACAAATCAAAAACGTTTTAAAAACAGTAAAAATGATTTATCTCTTGTTTAGGCAAATTTCAGATCTAGATCTTTTTTAAACAGAACATTGGTGAACTTTTATAAACCAAAACCATTAACCCTTGTAATCCATATTATAGAGAACTTAATTTTTATACGAAAATACCATTTTGGCTCAACAAAAACTCATAAAAATCACAAGAAAACCATAGAAAAATGGGGTTGAGGGATTGGGCGAGATGATACTCGCCTCAGGTGAGCAATAGATCCCTGGATCTGAAGGAGAACGTTTCCCCTCGCTGAATCCCACCAAAAACTGCTGCAAATCCTCAAGAACTTCTCCCAAATCACCAAACAAGGAGGATTAGGGTTTTAGAGAAGAGAGGGGGGCTAGGGTTAGTGATTTCAGATGCAAAGAGGGTTATCTCGGATCATTAGCCTATATACCAACTCACAAACCCGACCCGAAACCCGTTTGAACCCGAACCTGAGAAAATGCTCTGACCGCTGTGCGGTAGACCGATGCGGTCGACCGCGCAGCAGAAAAATGCCTGCTATAGGTATTTAACATGCTGGTCATTTCACTCGATTACTCTCACGTAGAAACATTTGATGGGGTCTCAAACACAGATAATTACGTTCATCTGATATATATATATATGTATATATATATATTAAGAGAATTATTCACTATTAATAATTCACATATATTTATTTTAGCAAATTTCGGGGTTTTACAATAATATAATTACATTCATCTGATATATATATGTATATATATGATTATTCATCATAAGGGAATTATTCATTATTAATAATACACATATATTTATTATAGAAATTTCAGGGTTTTACATTCTTCTCTCCTTTAAAAGAATTTTGTCCTCGAAATTCGAAAATTATACAAATCTCGAAATATGAATTACTAGATAACATATAGAGATATTTATACTTAACGATCTAAAATGATAATATTCTCGCTCAAATCCTAATCTAGTGGAACTAGTACATCGGGCGAAAAATCCAAACAAGGAACCCCCCATACATATACCATGTGTTCCAAAAGATTAAAAATTAAGCTAAAATATCTTCATTCTAGCTTAAGTATAAACATAACCAAAGACATAAACATAAAGTAAGATATATAACATAATAAGAATTTATTTACCTGCTCAACCAAGTGTGGGTAGTCGCGACGCATGTCCTCTTCGCGCTCCCAAGAAATCTCCTCAATGCCTCCTCGGTTCCACTGAACTTTCACTAAGGGAATCACCTTATTCCTGAGTCTCTTGTCCTCTCTGGCAAGTATACAAACCGGAATCTCAATAGTAGTCAAATCCTCCTGAAGCTCAATCTCTGGTGCATCCAATACTCGCTGCTGCTTCTCATCATGCAAGTGTTTCTTCAGCATAGAAACATGAAACACATTGTGTATACTAGACATCGATCCTGGAAGATCTAGTCTGTATGACACAGCTCCAATGCGCTCTAAAATCTGAAATGGTCCAATATATCTCGGCGCAAGCTTCCCC